ATATCCATGCTGTACACAATCTATTTCTCTCTTTGATGAAGTTGGGTCAGCACCCTAATTATGCTATTGGGACTTAAGGCACTGATTTTGATAATTTGGGAATTTTTTTAAAGTTAAAAAAATGTTTTAAAGTTAAATATACAATTATGAGCATAGATCTAACCAACAACTGTAGTTGTGACATTAAAGCATACATGGACAGCCTAAATAAACATTTTTGGTAAAGGTTTAAACATGACAGTAAAGGAGAAATAGTTGAAAGTGAAAGAGAATCTGGTATAACAGAAAAACTTACATTGCTGAGTTCCTAACTGAAGTGCTTCCTTTTGCTATCCTGATACCTGTCAATAAAAGGTAAATTTGTAAAATCTTTAATGACTTTCAAAGAGTTTTCACAAATAGGTATAATATACAAAAAAAAAAAAACAACTATATTAGAACTTCCATTTCAACATGCATTACATGGCTCTGATACCTGTCAATAAAAGGTAAATTTGTAAAATCTTTAATAACTTTCAAAGAGTTTTCACAAATAGGTATGATATACAAAAAAAAAAAAACAACTATATTAGAACTCCCATTTCAACATGCATTACATGGCTCTTTTTTATTAAAGTGGAAGCTTGTCTGGGGAGCACTATTTAAAACCTCTTCTCTAATGTGCAGTAAAATATATATAAAGTAAAAACATGGACTTTCCAAAAACACTTTCTCATTAGTCTACCTGTCAAATTTTGCATTAATGACCTGTCATTACAAGTTAATAATGTCCATCATTCCCTGTGGCTTGCCATTCACTTTAACATAAAACCAACAGATTCATATTATTAACTTTGAGTAGAAAACACAGGTACAGGTCGATGTCATTCATACATTTTATCTGACATCAAGACTTTAGCACTTTGTTTTCTTCATTTTCAGTTTTAAAATACTTATTTAAGTCAAATGGTATGACGAAAGTGATAGAGAATGATTGCAAATATGGTAAAATGTTGGCCACTGAAGAGTTCGGGTAAAGGGGAATTGGGATCTCTTTGTGTAAGTTTTTCAATGTTTCTATAAGGTTGGAATTATTTCAAAATGAAGGTGGTAAAACGAAGTACTAACAGCACCCCAAATCCTAAGTGTTCAACCTGTAAGTCTTTCTCTTAACATCAGAAGAATTTGTGCCACTGACTTAATTGGGTAATTTCTCGATGATATCTTTGCAGTCTGGGGACTGTATTCATAAATCCACACAATTGTGAGCAGGTGGTGGCTGGTACTTCTTTGACTAAAATACAGACCTTCAGGAGTAAATGTGTTGATGTGGGGTTTTTTGGTTGTTTCCTTTGCAGATGTTCTGTCAATAAAACACTTATTATTTAGTCATTGAGTTTTAAAACATATCCAGTTATTTTGGGCATTTTGCTCCCCACTCTGTCTCTGGTGAATCCTCTCACTGCCCCTACGCTTCTGGCCTGTACCTCAGTTCTGTATGAATAAATAAATCTGTAAAAAAAATAGGTATATATTTTTAACATGGAGGACATAACAGAGGACTTTGGGAAGGATTCCATCAGCATCATTTTCCCAGGTGCTTTATAATCCTGAGAATAATATCTTCTCCATTTGTTTGCCTGGAATCCATAATACTAGCATGTTTCTTGAAGGAAACCTATAGATTCCCAAGTTACTCATCAATGCCCTGTATGACCTGCCGCTAAAACATCAGTGGATTTTGACACAGGCAAATAAAAATGACAAATTCATTGGCTTAGACCTTAACCTCATGTGTTTTCTATATAAAACATACAACAGCTCTTTGAACTTTGCAGTTGCCATTTAAACTATAATATGCTGTCAGAATAATGTTCTAACAGTAAAGTAATTCTAGGTCTGCATACTTCCCCAAGGTTACCTTCAAATGAAAAAGCTATTAAACTTTAAGGCATTTCCAATATTTTATACTGAAGAAATAATAAGCTTTTGGGTGATTTACAAATCAACCACCACATCAGAACCACTGTTATGTCCTCCATGTTAAAAATATGTACATATATTTGGCCCTCCCTGGTGGCGCAGCAGGTTGAAGCACTGCACTAAGAAGCTAAAGCCACCTCAGCATGAGTTCGATTCCCGCCTGCCCCAGAGGTGACCACATGGTGTGGCAGACCTCTCCTGACCCGCCCCGCTGCTCCCCTCAGCAGTGTACTTCGTCGATCTGCCTGTTCTATTCCCCATTCTGTCTCTGGTGAAGCCTCTCACTGCCCCTGAGCCTCTGGCCTGTACCCCAGTTCTGTTTGCACAAATAAATAAATCTTAAATATATATATGTGTGTGTGTGTGTGTGTGTATAATACATATATTTTACAGATTTATTTATTCATACAACCACCCACTCAGAAGATGGGCAGGTCAGCTAAACAGACTTTTCCAAAAAGACATACAAATGGCTAGAGGCTCATGAGAAAAATTTATCATCACATTATTAGGGAAATGCAAATTAAAATTACAATGAGATATCATCCCGTACCCTACTACAAAAAAAAATAAACTCACTACAAGTAAAAGATAAGAAAAAATAAAAGATAAAAGATAAGAAACTACAATTATTGGCAAGAATGTGGAGAAAAGGGAGCCCCGTGGGCTGTTGCTGGAAATGTGAACCTGTGCAGACACTATGGTGAAACTGAGATTCCCAAAAAAATTAAAAATCAAACTTCTGTATGGTCAGTCTGTCCCTTTTCTGGGTATTTACCCAGCAAATATGAAAACTAAAATTTGAAGAGATGTAACAATCTTTTGTTCATTGAAGCATTACTTTCAGTATTCAATATATAAAAGCAGTCTAAGGGCCCATCACCAGAGGACTGATAGACAAGATGTGGCATATATATGAAGGGATACAACTCAGCTATTTTTATTTAAAGATTTATTTATGCATACAGAACTGGGGTACAGACCAGAGGTGCAGGAGCGGTGAGAGGATTCACCAGAGACTAAGCGGGGAGCAGAACAGGCGGATCGATAAAGTACACTGCTGAGGGGAGCAGTGGCCTAGACAGGAGAGGTCTGCCATGCTATGTGGTCACCTCCGGGGTTGCGATCCAACTCATGCTGAGGTGGCTTTAGCTTCTTAGTGCTGTGCTTTAACCCACAGTGCCATCAGGGAGGACCCTCAGTTATTTTTTAAATAGATGAAGTATTGCCATTTGCAACAACATGGATGGATAGAGAGAGTGTTGTGCTAAGTAAAATAAGTTAAAGAAAAACAAACACTGTGATTTCACCCATGTGGAAAAAAGAACAAACTAAACATAAAACAAAATGGTGGTTACCAGAAGGGGAAGGTGGGTGATTTGTGTAAGAGGCATCAGTTGATGGTGGTGAATATAAACTAGATTTTTGGTGGCAATCATTGTGTAATATATACAAATGCCAAATTATAATGCTGTGCACCTGAAACTTAGATGAGGTTCTAGATCAATGTTGCTTCAATATTTAAAAAAAAAAAAGTTTTGGTTTATCAAATGCCATTAATCTTTCTTCTAGGAAGTTGCCAGATATAAATTCACATTCTCTGAGCTCTTATAGTACATTGTACTTAGGATTTATCATATGTTGCCCTACATTTATAATTGAAATTCACTGAGACAGGGAGTTTGTCTTAAACATCTTTTTTTTTTTTTTTTAGGATTTTTATTTATTTGTGCAATACAGAACTGGGGTACAGGCCAGAAGTGCAGAGGCAGTGAGAGGTTTCACCAGAGACAGAGTGGGGAGTAGAACAGGCAAAATGATGAAATACACTGCTGAGGGAGCAGCAGGTGAGGCAAGAGAGGTCTGCTGCGCCATGTGGGTCACCTCCCTGGCCCGGGATTGAACTCATGCTCAAGTGGCTACTGAAGCGGCTGCCACAAGCTTCACAGTGCTGTGCTGTGATTTAACCCATTCCGCCACCAGGGAGGGCCCTTAAACATCTCTTTATCACCGATAGTAGTGCCTTATTATAAGGTGTTTAATAAAAACATTTATGAAGATATTAAATAACAATGAAAATAGCCTATACTTCTAAGTTTGAATAGTATGGGACATTGGGCCTGAATTGGTGGTGTTTTATTATACTTCCCTAATATAGTTGCTTCATCATCTGAATGCCACTGCGGATTCTACTGTAACTTTAAGTCTCAGTTCAGAGGTCATGTGGTCATGTGTGTCGTTTTACAGACTGTGGCGTGGGATGGGAATATATTATGAAGACAAAGTCATAGAAATAAAATTGTTGTTCCTTTTGCACAAGAGGCCATCAGTGCCTGTGCTGTGCTGGTACCACAATGTTACAGTAATTGTTCATTGTTCTTATTTTTTGCCTCTTGTACTGAACAGCAAATAATTCATATGCCAGATATTATGACTTTGTTAGGTAGAGACTGTTACCTCCAATAAATAGATGAAAAAGTGAATGTTAGGAAGAAAATGCCAAAGGATTCTATGGCTAGTGACAGAGCTTGTGATGGGAACCTCTGTGTTCTTGGTTCTAAATCTGTAGGTTACTCCTGTGACCCACAGCTGTCCACCCTACTAACAATGTGCATTACCATGAGGGGAAAGTTATGTAAATACTCTTGAGAGAAACTGCTGTCACATATAAAGGGTTAGATTTGGGGGTAAGGGGGGGACTGTAATCCTACAATATACCTAATCAATATTCTATTAATTCAAGAACATAATTTTCTTACTGCTCGTTAACAACATTCTTCTGCATCTTGAAAGCTTGAGATGTTTGTAATTCTAGTATAGAAACTTTTATTACTACCCTAAGTATAAACAGTGCTAACTTTAATGATTGAACAGTTCTGGAAAGAAAAACATCAAATGATACCTTCAGTGTATGAGCAAGATCATGGGAGCAATTTATTATAATATATGTAAAGTAGAATTTTAGGTAATTATTGTCAAAATATTCATTATTTACAAAACTTTGTGAATTTTTCTATAATGATCATGTTCTGTTGTAGAATGAATATTTAAATGAAGATGTTGATGCAAGAGTTATTGAATATGAAGATAACCGGTCCCTCTTAGATATGTTTCTGCAGAAACCAATGGGCTTACTGTCCCTACTTGATGAAGAGAGCAGATTTCCCAAGGCCACTGACCAGACTCTTGTAGGTAAGTTTTGAACCCAGTATGTCTAGTGATTTCTTTTTATTTAATTTTTGCAAGAAAATGCCTATTACAAGCTCTGCAAAGAAGCTTTTGATCTAATACCTGCATGAGTGAATTTTATAATAGTAAGTTATTTATTTAGTGATGAATTAAGTTCAGATACTGGACATGTCCTTGCTTTATTCTCAAGCCCCAAACTTAATTTTTGGTAATAATAATTTTAGAAATTATTTGACCAAAATTAGAAATTGGAGACATACTGTAATTTGCAAAGAGATAGGTAACCAGAAGGAAATAAATTGCTCAACAATCGTCTAGTAGTTTAGGCAAATGGCCTAAAATACCTTAATATTATTTAAGTCACAATACATGAATAAATGTTCATGATATTCCTAAATCATTAAGGAAAGATTAAACATTCTGTTTGAGAAGACAGAAATATGGATACTATATGTAAGAATATCATCTAAAATGGTAAAACAAAAACATCTTTAAATTAAGAAAAAGAACTCTAGATTTTAAGGCCCTTGAAAAAAAATTAATGATATAATAGTTTATTTTTACATCATTTTGCGCTTTTTTCCATCTCAATTGTAATCCTCATGGGCTTCCCATCACCATATCACCTGTGAGCCAGCACCACAGTCCAGTGTACTTCCACTCCACCCCCATAAAATGTCTCTGTGATATACTTGTTCATTATTATTATTTTGAAAAAAAAAATTATAGTGTGGAAATACCATATACCTTGGTGGTGAAAGTTATTGATTATGTATAATAAAAACTTATAAAAATTTCAAATTTCCTTTTTCTCTCACCTATCTCTGGTGATACCCAAAATTGTATCTTGCTGCCAAATCTGTGATGTTGCTTTCTTCTGACTCACTGAAAGGCTCATTCTCTCCTCTAATTAGACAACACTGGATGGAAAAACTAATATTTCCCAGGTTGTAGGCTTTATCACTTCATAATAGTCACTTGATTTTGAGACTAAGGTGTTTCTCTGGAGCATGAAGTTCTCGAAGGTAGTGACTTTGTCATGAAAAACCCACTGTTTTTATGAGCCTATCGAGTGTCTGATGAAATCAGTGACTTCTACAGCAAGAAGAAACAACACCAAATTTCTAGGCGAAGCTGAGCTTCAAGCTGTGTTCCACAAATCTTGGTCAACCTCAAGTAGCTCCCTTCCTTTGTGCCAGTGACTCTCAAACTGTGGTTCCAAGCCAGGGACATCAGCATCCCAGACCCAGGAAGCTTGCTATAATGTGAGTTCTTGGATTCTATTTCAGATCTGCTGGGTCAGACACTCTGGTGGAGAACCCAGCAGTCTGTATTAATAAGCCCTCCTGGTTACACTTGCTATGGTTGAGAGGTGCTGCTCCAAGTTATGAGGGGTGATATCACTTCTGATCTGGTGTTTTGCCTTACCCTTTATAATTCTGTTCCACATCTGCATGTACTGGTGATAAGAAACTTACTCCTTTTTTCCCATCACATTGTGCATTTTATGGTGAAAAAGATGATTATGTCAGTCAATTTTTTGAGCATTTCCTACATTCTTAATATTGGGGTTCAACTGTTTTGCTACAGAAAAATTTGAAGGTAACCTGAAATCACAGTATTTCTGGAGACCCAAAAGAATGGAACTTAGTTTTGGAATTCACCATTATGCAGGAAAGGTAAGCTTCTGGAGAATTATGACTGTGTTTCTCTTTAATCTTCCATTGAATAATAGGGCCCCAAGTCTTTCTAGGTCATTATACTGGAAGAGCCATCTATTTCTGCCCCTCTCTGGCCCTCGCTCTGCTCTTCAACTCCTACAATCTGTCCTGTTCGTTGCCAACTCCTCTCCTACAGAGACCACTCCCTCTAGGGCTTCTATCCTTAAAAGGGCTTAAAAGCCCTTCTCCTGGCCCTCCCTGGTGGCACAGCGGGTTGAAACACTGCACTGAGAAGCGAAAGCCACTTCCGCATAAGTTCGATTCACGCCTGCCCCAGAGGAGTCCATATGGCATGCCAGACCTCTCCTGACCTGCCCACTGCCCCCTTCAGCAGTGTACTTCACAGATCTGCCTGTTCTACTCCCCGCTCTGTCTCTGGTGAAGCCTCTCGCCGCCCCTAAGCCTCTGGCCTGTACCCCAGTTCTGTATGCACAAATAAATAAATCTTTTAAAATAATAATAAAATAATAGTTAAAATTTTTTTAAAAACCTCTTATTATGACAAATAAAATTGTCATTTATATAGAATAATTTTTATCGCAACACTAAGGGGAAAAAAGAAAGAAAAGGAAGACAAAGCCGTTAAGAATCCATCTTTCTGATCCTGCATACTGGCTTTGGGTGAGATTTGCCTCGAGAGATTATTTGTACCCTTTCTTGAAATGATAGCTGGGAACCTTTTACGTAAATTGCCTTTTTCGGGTTTTAGATGCTTCTCTCTCCACTGCAGCCTTTGTTTCTCCTTCCTCTCAGTAAGAGAAGTTGCCAGCTTAGAGCATGGTCAGTTAACTGAGTTCCATAGATGGAAGTGATCAGTGGGCTGTTATACAGTTGGGGGAGGACATTTTTCTGCATTGTAGACACACGCTGCTACACTGCAGACATGTTGTCCTGCACCATGAGGACCTTTGTTTTCCCTTTTTCAGCAAATCACAGGCCATTCATTCCCTCACTGCTGTTGTAAGTATTGGGGGACTAAGATGTTCAAGTGACCTGATGGTATTTCTCTTTATTTCTCTCACTTTTTCCACTTTTTATTTCTGTTTTATCTACATTGTTCTATTTGTATGTTCTCCAGTGTTGTGTTTTGAGCTCATTAATATTCTCCATTGCTTCTGTTTTCCGCTGGTAAGGCCCTCTATTGTATTTTTTTAAATCAGTTATAGTATTTCTTAGCTCTGTCATTTCTTATTGTAACTGCCCTGTATTTTATCTTTATTCTGTTGCTATTTTGTAGTCTCTACTTTTGTTGTTTTGTGGGTTGTTTGTGTTTTGTGTTCTAAAAGTGCTGTTAGAATTGTTACTAGGAATTCCTCTTCTGTCTTGTTCTGCAGTCCTGCTGGATGGAGACTCCTCTCGTGGCTTTTTGTTCCCCAAACTGGTACATTCATCAGACTCCTCATTTTTAATGTATGTGGATTGTAATAGGGATAGCCTTTTAGACTGCTGTCTTTGCACCTATCAAAATAATCAGAGAACTGATATCAGCAAGGAGGTGTAGATCTAAGAAGACCAAGGCAGGAGGGCACCCAGTGTCAGCTCCAGTAAATATCAGAAATTCAAGCTTCCAACTGGATGGTGGGTGCCAGAGTTGTGTGGTGGGTGTCCACAGTGACCTCCTCCTCTAGGCCAGCTCACCAGTCTTAATGTTTCTTAGGGTCTCATGTCCACCTACAATCTAGGCTACTTTTAAGCACCAGATGCAGTACCAGCCATGGTCTGTACTTGATACTGAGTCCCAGGTCAACAGCATTCTCTTTTCTTTTCCAGCAGAGTCTGATCTTGGAGTATACTAACAGGTGCTTGGGCTCTAGTTGATTCATGGCTTCCTTTGTTGTTCTAGTTTTAGCCCAGGGACAGGGGTAGCTGATATGGTGGATATTCCAGTTGGAGCCTCTTCTATGAGGAGACACAGATGATCCCACCAATTTCTCCTCGCCTGCTCAGACTCCAGCTGCTCTATATTGAGAGCCACAGGCTCAAGGCAGGAACCCCTGCTCTGCACATCCCCAGCCCCAGCACCCGCTTACCCAGTGCTATGCTTGTTCTCAGGAGCCCTTAATATTGATGTGTGCCCAGCTCAGCACCCCGAGGGGACTCTGCACAGCAACCACACCTCTTTCTCATGGTTTTGCCTCCCTGGTGTCCCTATAAACTTACAGTTAATTTAAAGTTTTTCCTACCCTGGATCTTTGCTCCTGGTGTGTGCTGTGGTTGTGCATTTTTCCCTCAGGGCTCTTTTTTGGATTGTTCTAAAGTGATCTAAGCTTGAGTATTTGGAGGAGGCAAGCCTGGTATCTGCACTTCAACTTGTCAGACTCCTCTCTGCCTCTTCTTATAAGTATAAAAGTTCCTATGAGACTAGGGCCCACATTCATGATTTAACCATAATTGCATCATAGAAGCCCTGCCCCAATATACAGTTACATTAGGGGTCAGAATCACAACACATTGAATAAAAACACAGGTCAGCCCATAAAAATGACCATATTAGAGCACGCAAATATATATATTTTGGTCATACTGATATTTAAAAAGTCTTATAATTACTTTAAACTGTTACTTTTAACTGTTACAACTGTTACTTTTAAAAGGCTTTATGTCAAAAGCACAAATACCCACCATGTACTTAGACCACACTCCTGCTGAGACAAACCACGATATGGCTAATTCACTGCTGGTGAATAAATTCTCATAGAATGAGGGTGCTTTGGTTCTCCAGTGTGCTTTCTTTGTGCTACCCCTAACGTCTCAAACATAGAAAGGAAACAACAAATGTCCAACATAGTATTTGACTATTTCAACCCAAATAAAATCAGAGAGACACACAATTTTTTCTGACAAGATAAACTGTAAGTCTGGAAAAGTTCACTTTTCCAACCAAGTTGTAGGGACTACTTGTATAAATCACTGTGTACCTCTTGCCCAACCCAGAATACACTCTCAGCAAATACCTAGCAATAATAGTAATAATGACATTGATTGTGCTAATGACCATCATACTTTATCAACAGGTCTTCTATAATGCTAGTGGGTTCTTGGCTAAAAATAGAGACACTCTTCCAACTGATATTGTGCTACTCTTGAGGTCATCAGAAAACAGCGTTATTCGGCAACTGGTCAACCATCCGCTGACAAAGACAGGTGAGCTAAGACACATTTTCTAACTGAGAAGTTCCTCAGACCCAATCTAATAATTTCTGTCTCTGTGATTTTCATTAGTATGATCCTCAATTTTCATCTTGGTTGTTTTAGCTCCTTAAATATGCAATTGTTAATACACTTTGTTAGATCACCTGAAGAAAATAATAAAATACGAAGAAGCTAAATGTTTATTGAAGAAAAGTGTTTGAGCACTCACAAGAAATACAGTGATGTCCTGGCTTCTCACCAGAAGAGCACACTCACCTCCAGGGGAGCAGAATTACTCACTGTCCTGGGAATGGCCAGCTTTTGGATAGTACTTTGAGGTTCTGCACATTTAGTGAGCTTTGCCAACTGATTGAAAACTCACATGACATTGTTCCACCCAATCATACACAGCCTTGTATTTTCTTTTTAAAACAATAGAGAAAAGATGTAGTTGGGTTGTTTATCTTTATTTAAGTTTAATATTGTTCATTGTGTTTCTTTTTTGAAATTGTTTTAGTGAGGTATAACTGACATGCGTTAAAAAGCACAGACTTAGCAGTAAAAGTGGCTTAGTCTTTGAATTACATAAACACCTGTAAGACCATCGCAATCAATAGTTAACATCACAATCAATAGTTAATCCCAAATGATGTTTTCTCATGACCCTTTGGAGGCCCCATTGTAGTTGCACTGGTTCGAATCACCAACACAATGTTGAATAAGTGGTAAGAGTGAATATTTTTGTCTCATTCTTGAATTTATAGGGAAACATTCAGTGTTTTCCCAATGATTTTGATGTTAGCTGTGGGTTTTTCATAGATATCTCTTAGTAGGAGAAGGACGTTAGCTCCTATTACTAGCCATTAATACTCATAAACACATTTAATTTTAATTTGTTGTTAATGATTTTCAGATTAGTGTATAAATTTTGCTAAGGTGAAATTGTAAGTCCTTTACCAAATCTCCTCTAGTTTTTTGGTTTTCAGATTCGATTTCAGTTTCCATTTGGCTAATATTAGAATGCACAGCACCTTACAGCCCATATCTGTCCTCTTGCATGTGCTACCAGGACATTGCGTGCAGTCATCATGCTTCTGTGCTGCCAAGAAATCTCAGCTCCCTGGTCATTGTTTTCTAAATCTTTGACTAGTGATCTTAAAAAAATAGTCAATATGTGAAACTTCTACTGCTGTGCCTTGAAGATCATTTGTTACTGTCCTGTCCACTCTGCTTGTACTCAGTAATTTTCCCTTTTGAAGAATGAATAGTGCAGCAGGCAGTTGCAACCCACATATCCCATCCTAGCAATATGCCTGGAGTCAGAAGGGAAAAGTAAGAGAGCAGGGAAGAGGCACTGCCAGCCACATCCCAGGCAGGGCTTCATCCTACATGCCATCTCTGAGCCAGCCTCACACAACCAAAAAGAATGTGAAGGATTTGCCAAAAAAAAATATATATATCCTGGAGGATCCAAGACGGTGTCAGAGGAAGCCCCTTGCTCCTCTCCTGTAAGGCTCATCTATACTACTACTACTACTACTATACCCGAAAGTCCTTTGGCTACTATACCCAAAAGTCCTTTGGCTTAGGGCAAACCTAGAATAGTTCTTGATACCATAGACCAGACAGACTGCACCAGAAGTGACACAGGATAGACTCAAGCTGCAGTGAACAAGAGGTGGATGGAAATAAACCCCTAAAAGTTGCAGTGAAGGCAGGAGACTGCTGTACAGACCACACCTGCCACTCAGCCAGATGCCTTGGGGAAGAGCCCAATGGTATGTATGGATATGGATGTGCACCATTGACTGAGAGGAAATATGGAGACGAATTTGGGTCCTGGTAAGCCAGGTACCCAGTGAGACAATGACATTATGCTGAGCTGCACTTTCATGCTGCCTCAGGACTGGTGCTGACCTTGTGAGGCTCATGGATAATGCTCAGCAACTGTTGGATCTCAGTCTGGGACCCTGGCAGAGAGCTCTTGGTGGTAATGCAAAAAACATGAACCTGTGGACAAACACATGTATACCAGAGCATTCACACACAGCTTGATTCCTTCAAGCTTCTACACCACCCCCTGACTCAACAGCTGTCAGATCAGACCTCCACTCTACTAAACCCAGAAAGTCCAAACACACAAAATCATGTTAAAAACATAGTACCACCTACTGTGTGGAAAAATAGTAGTTCAAATCACTGTGCCGTAAAACAGCAAAATGGGCAGATTCATAAACACAAAAGGCACACCTCAAGAGACTCCAAGACTGCAAGGAGAGAACAGTGATGGATAAGAACCTGAACACAAAGGTATGGAAGATTTTATCTTCCTATCAGATACAGACACCAGAATTTCCACGGTAAAGAAATTCAAAGAATTGGGAGAAAATGCAGAAAAGCAAGCCAAAGTGATAAAAGATAACTGAGAAAAGTTAGACACAACAAAGAGCAGAAAACAAATGACTGTCATGAGGAGTATAATTAATGAGTAGATATTGGAAATTGAAGTTAGAGCAAGAAAATAAGGGAGTTAGAGGATGTAAAAATATCAATAGAAGAGGTAAAAAATTTCTGCAGAAAGCTATGGAAGCAAACTAGGCTAAAAGGAGGATCAGATTAGTGACCTTGAAGATAATAATGCACACAGACCCAGATGGGGAAAGAAAGGAAGATGAAGGGAGATAAAAGTGAAGAAATACTCTGGAAATTAAAATTGTGAAATTGCATGTAATTTTGCTTTATCCCTAACCTACTCAACAGTTAGCAAGTATGTGAGCATGAGAATTAAGGAATCAACATGTTTACTTAACACTGAAGTAAAAACGTCTTCTAGTCTTTAAGGACCTTAAGGGGTATACTAAACTTATAAACCTTCCCATAGGTAATCTGCCACACTCTAAAAGTGAAAATATAATAAACTATCAAATGAGAACTTCAGAAAAATCAGTCAGTCTAACAAAGGTAAGCAAATGCATTTTTTCATGGCAGTAAGCCTTAATACTATGACCTTGAGAATCTTAGTATTTATTTGTACTTTCCTAAAAGTAAACAGCCTTTTTCTTAGTCTCTGTCTTTGATCTTTGTTTCCTTTTTAAGTAGGCATTTACATTATATACACATTACCATTAGTCACTAAAATAATTAGGAAATTTTGAAATATTTCTTTTTTAAAAAGACTTTTTTATTGATGCATACAAGAATTGGGGTGCAGGCCAGAAGTGTAGGGGTGAGAGGATTCACCAGAGACAGAGTATGGAGCAGCACAGGCAAGGCAGGAGAGGTCTGCTGCGCCCTGTGGGTCAGCTTCTCTGGCCAGGATCAAACTGGTGCTGCAGGTAGCTTCATAGTGCTGAGACTTAACCTCTTGCACCACCAGGGAGGCCCCAAATTTTAAATATTTCTAACTCTTCTTTTACTTTAAAGTTACATTAAGGCTGTCTAAAATATATATATATATATATATATATATATATAGTTAAGGTCAGAGACATTCACATTCTGTGTAAGATCAATTAAAATTCCAGTGAGTCAACAAAGCAATTACATTAAAGTAAAAATATTACCAACATTTTGCTGTCGTATATATTTGAATGCACAAACTATGCTGATCTGAAGGAAATGCCTCATACTCCCTCTAGATCAGAAAGTACAACAGGTACAGAGCATCATGGTCTTCTTTGGTCTTCTTAGGGTGAAACTGGAGAAGCCACACGTCATGCCAGAGAGACGACCAACATGAAAACACAAACAGTCTCGTCATATTTTAGAGTAAGATATTAAATGGTGACGTGCTGTGCTAGGGATATTACTTATTGTAACTGTGATTTATAGACCAAAATCTTGTAAAAAAAAAAAAAATACCAGATTGCTTATAGCAAGAGAGAATTTTCAATATATTCCATTTACTGTTTGATAGATAACAAATATTTTAGTTTGTATTGTCAAAAACTTGTTGCTCAGTTCACTTTGATAGTTTACAGTAACATTAATGTATACAAGGTTGATCTTTTTTCATATTACTTTTTTTTAAAAGATTTATCTATTTATTCATACAGAACTGGGGTACAGGACAGAGATGCGGAGGGTGAGAGGATTCACCAGAGACAGAGTGGGGAGCAGAACAGGCAGATCGATGAAGTACACCACTGAGGGGAGCAGCGGGCGGGCCAGGAGAGGTCTGTGACGCCATGTGGATCTCCTCCAGGGCAGGCGGGGATCGAACTCATGTGGAAGTGGCTCAAGCTTCTTAGTGATGTGCTTTAACCTGCTGCGCCACCAGGGAGGGCCCTATATTACTTTTTAAAGATTTGCTTGTGTCTGGCCTGGGATACAGGCCAGACGTGCAGGGGATGAGCAGATTCACCTGAGATAGAGTGGGGAGCAGAACAGGCAGATCTACCAAAATATGCTGCTGAAGGAAGCAGTGGGCAGATCAGAATAGATCTGCTGTGCCATGTGGGTCACTTCCCTGGGTGGGGACACAGTTGGTGCTGCAGTGGCTGTGGAAAGCTTCACAGTGCTGCACTTTAACCCATTGCGCCACCAGGGAGGGCCCTACAAGTTTGATCTTAAAGGAGGTCTACAACTTGGTTGTTTCGTCCCATGTAAACATTTCCACTGGAATTAAATCCAAACCTAAACCTAAATGGGCTTTTAGTTCGATACTATAATAATTTCTAATAAGTATAATTATTATAATTTATACAATTTATAGTTATAATTTATAATTATTTATAAAAATAATAATTTCTCCTTTCCACTCCTGAATGAGTTTAGACAGGTAGATAAAGCTGATGATCATCCATCTCTACCCCATATCTCACTACACTATAGACCAGGTGGAAACCTCAAAATAAAAAGAGGTCCAGTGTACTGAAGAGGTAAGAGAAACTCAGGAAAATGCTAAGAAAGTGAATCGTGCATTCTTAGCATAGAGTGAAGGTGACCTTTCCTCCCTGGATGATATGGGAGGAAGAAAAGAAAAAATTACTTTTATTTTCACTGTGCTCTGGACTATTCTACATAACCCTGCCCACATTATTGAGTCCAGTTCTTGTTTATCTCTTCTACTGAAATCCTGTTAATCAGTCAATGAAAATGAAAAGAAATACCACCTAAAACTTGGAATTTATCAATGTTACATTTTTAATGTGTGGGGTGAAGAAAAAAATAGGTTATATTTGCTATAGGATTTCAGAAAAGAAATGCAGTTCCCAAGGGAATCCTGAAATACTTATAAAAATAGCTAGGTAGTTTTATTACATCGTTTTCAAGATCTAAGTTCATAGCAGACAGAGGCCCTTAATCACCATTGAGTAGCACTGATATGTCTGCAAGCTCAGTATCTCATGTGTCCTGCTGAGCGTTCACCTAATGTCAGGTCTGCGGCACAGCTGAACCACCAAGCACTACAGCGGATTCTTTTCTTTCTTTTAAGTGCATTACCTGAGACCATGATCACACCACTGTTGGTCACATCAAACACTGTGTACGTTTAAACCACTGGTTCATAAAATTGTTTTACACCACAAGCTAAAGTGAAAAGAGACAGAAAATTTCATATAAACTGAATATATCTTTAAAGTTATTTTTCATTCTTCAGAGAAGAATGAACTAGTGTTAACACTGCCCTACTGAAAAAGCAAAGGCAATGCCTACCTTGCAGTCAGCCCTTGCACGGAATACCAGCAGCTGAGTCTCTCACTTTGTATCTCCCATGCCTGGCAGATGTTTGTGTGAGTAAAGGAATGATGGCTCCCAGGTACATGTAATGCAGAAGGACTTCAGACTGGCAGAACCAGCTGTCTGAAGATCGCATCTGAGTCTCACTGCCCAGAGGACGCCATACAAATCGAGTGTCTTGTCAGCTGCCCAATTTCAGTGTTTGGGTAACACCAGCTTTGTACTTTCAACACTAAAAGAGATCCAGCTATCAACGGCTGTTAATGTCCATATCTTCACTACCTTGCTGATAAACTGACATCCTGCTATTTGACATACTAGTTTTCTGGTGTTTACTTATAATTGAATCAAATTATCCTCATACATTACACTTAGTTGCCCAGCAGTTAGCTGTTTCACCAAGGTTTTGTAATGGAACATCGTTTTACTATCTATCTGATTTTTACAACTCTAAAATAAATTAAAAATTATTGAATTGGCACAGATTAGGGTATTTACATGGATCTACTTATTTGTGTAGTTTTGTCCCATATACTAAACAGCATTAGCATCTCAGTTCTTATTTTCTAGTAGGGGATAATTCTGACAGGGGTAAAGTATTAATTTTCATACTTTTTATAAAGAGTTAAGGAAGGAGGCCCTCCCTGGTGGTGCAGTGGGGTAAAGCACAGCACTGTGAAGCTGGCCTGGGTCTTGGTGGGAGCTCGATCCCTGCCCTGGAGGTGACCCACGTGGTGTGGCAGGCCTCTCCTGTCTTGCCTGCTGCTCCCCTCAGCAGTGTACTTCGTCAATCTGCCTGTTCTGCCCTCACTCACTGGCCCTGCACCACTGGCTTGTACCCCAGTTCTGTATGCATAAATAAATAAATATTTTTTTAAAAAAAGAGTTAAACCAGATTGTGTGCCTAAGTATTATAATTCAGCGTTTCCCTGAGATACAGTTTTTTACATCTGAATCAAAATAATTTTATCTCTGAAGTTGACTTAATTTACATCCTTTTGATAGCTAAATTCTGCATTCTGCAATACATTTTATGAATAAATCTCTAATTCTTAAAATACTAAAAATAAAAATTTTAATACAGGCTTCCCTCCACTTACTGTAAATTAGTGTGACCATGAAACATTCAGTTTTCAGAATTTGTACTTATCATAGAATAAAGACCTGTAAGCTCATAAGTTTTTGTATGGCTCACTGAGAAATTTATTTTTGTTGCATATTATAGTATTCTCTGATGGATTTGTTATCCAAAATGGTGGTGGGCCAACCTCACTTTGTCCGTTGCATCAAACCCAATAATGAACGTCAGGCAAGAAAATATGACAGAGAGAAAGTTCTGCTACAGCTTCGTTACACAGGAATTCTGGAAACAGCAAGAATTCGAAGACTAGGATACTCACATCGGATACTTTTTGCTAACTTTATAAAGCGGTATGCAAATTTCTTTTTAAGTTCTGTGTATGGTTTGTCTACAAGTTCTTTAGAAGAATTATAGAAAAAGAACAGTTATTAAAGATAGGTATAGAAATAGGCATTAGGTTTAAATAATCAACTATACAGGTCAAATAGGAAGCACTCACTTTAATAAGGTTTCTTAATGGAAAAAAAAGTAGATTTCCTGTACTGCAAGCCAGATGTGTCAGCCTTTAAAGTTCCTTCATTGTACTGGAAGGGGAGTTTCACCTCCAGGGCAGCTTGATGGGTGTGCCACCCCTGCCATCACACGGGTCTAGCGTTTGGAAGCTTTGAAAGACCACATACCTGCTCAAAGACCCTGCTGCTACTATCTTCTAAAATCCTTAACAGTTGGTGACAGGGCCTTGCATTTTAATTTTGTACCAAGTCTCACTAATTCTGTAACTGGGGAGGAATACTGAATTTCAAAACTGGCTTGATCATCAGGAATTAACATTCCAATTAAGGTTACTAGAACAATAAAGCATCACACAGTACTAAATACCAAGGTCCAAGGAAATGATAAAAACAGTGTGTGAATTCAGAGAGGAGAAAGACTCAAAAAAGAGCCCGAGCTGGGGTCTGATGATGGATATAGTTTGTGTGAAAGACAGGTAGGTGATTTTTCATTGTGCTTGTTGGTATGCCTGAGACTTGGATTCAGTTGGCTTGGTGAGCAAGCATTAGTGAAGTCACAGAAAGTATATGTTGGGGAAAGAAAGGAAAACTGATCAGGATAAAATGATCAAGAAAGAGCATGACTGCCTGACTAAATGTACAGTTTCAAAATTGCCCATAGTTTTAGAATATGAACCATAACAGAGAAATAAAATTTTCTTATCATAGTCAATTGAAAATAGCTTATTTAGAAGGTCTGAAATGGGTACAAATTCTTAAATGTGCTTCAAGTCCTGTTCTGTTATAAAATTGCGAATTACTGCATGTTAGTGGAGGAAGCAGGGGAACCAAGCAGCCAAAGAACATGAACAGTTGTTGTTCCAGAAACAGGACATTCCAGAAATAAAAGGCTAATTTTTTTCTCTGCCACTAATTTGAAAGCTGTCATCCAGATTGTCATAGACTCTTAGGAAGTCAGACCAACTTGTAAAGGCCCTGCGGAGGTGTAAATGGGATAAATGACCCTACCTGGCCTGCCTCGCCCTTTAAGTAGCCTTCCGTGCATCACATGGAATTCAGCAGGCCCTTTGTCTGTTCTGTGGTACACTTGCTCTTCTGTTTGTGACAAAAAAATGATCAAGGGAAGAGACAGAGCATGAACAGCCTTTGCATTATATACTGTTTAACTATAGTTGCCTCAAATGAATCCTTATACAAAGAAGACCCTGAAGTTAGCTCATTTTTCCAGAAGGTATCATTTCTACCCCTTCCCAACTCATCCTTACATAACTTCCCCAACCTTTGAAAACACCTAATTTTTCCATCCTTTCTAAGAACCAGGAAAATTTTCAGAGACTTTCAAGTTAGAAAGGACATGATCAGATTTTCTTTGCATTGAAGTAATTCCAACTTCTGTGAAACTGGGGAGAGGAGAGTGGAGGGAGTGAAGAAGGGCATAACCAGTGAGAGGCAATGACAAGTTGGAGTCTCTCCTGCATTAACCCCTGACTCACTTACTGATATGGTAAACCAATAGCAGAAAACTCCAGGGAGAGACATCATGTAACTCATGTAACTCAAGGAAGAACAGTGGTGAAAGGCATGTATACATGGTGAAAGCTTGTGTGGAATTAAACTCTTCATTTTCAAGATCAGCTTCCAGTACTTCTGTGAAGATGAGAAAAAGAATCAAAGCTTTCTGTCTGCATCTTACTACTACATTCAGTGCCCAGAGAAGTTACTTTCTAAAAAATACCCAGCTAATTTTGTTTGAGTGACACAGCTTTGGGGGGAGATTTTGGCATTAAGTCTTGAAAAGTGATCACTAAAGTGAAAAACAATATTCAAATTGACACAAGTAAACTGGTCCAAATTTGTGTGGATCTGGAGTTCATTCGAGCTTTCCTAAGAATCCCCTGTGTTAAGTCTCAGGGGTCTCCCCTCCCCTGTACACAACTGTCCAGTTGCCACCTGACCGCTGAGACATTGGAACTTTGTGAAATACTAACCAGCCTTCTCCCATTTGAAGGTACCATGTTCTCTGCTACAAGTGGAATGAAGATCCGCCAGTCAGCCCTGATACCTGTGTCGCCATTTTGGAAAAAGCTGGCCTTGATAATTGGGCTCTTGGAAAAACAAAAGTAATGTTTTTGTGTCATTTTTTTTTAAAAAAGTTACTAGCTATAACTTTTGATAATTATTGAAAATAGCATGGCTTATTATGTTATAGAATCTGTAGCTTGACATAGGGCAAGCAAATTGGTAAATTCATACAGATTTCCTTCTTGGGCAAACTTAAAATAGTTTTGCTCTTATAAAGATTTCTTTGATGAAACTCAGGAAAAATTCATCTTGAAAATGTATCTCAAAATGGATGAACTTTATAATGAAAATTCTTCACTTCAAATACTACTGAAAACAGATCAAGACATTCTCCCTACTGCCTCACTACCAAATGTGGTCACAAAACTTTAGAGAATTATAATGATCTAAATAGGATTGTTTTTCTAATTCTCAATTCTGCTTCAATTGTAACTTAAAATTTATTCAGAGTGAAATATTTGCCATTATTATTAGATTTGTCATATGTGTTTGGATATATCAGTATACTAGATTTGAGAAACTATATAAGAGCTAGTGTTTTTAATCCTGTAGAGACTAAAATAATAACTCATAACCAGTTTTGAATATAGGAGTATCACAGGTGACTGCTGGAAGAAAGATTGCATTAGGCATCTCAGGTATCCCCAAAGTTTTGCAAGATGGGACTGAGGAAATAAACAGGTGAGAGGTGTACCAAGTGTATCACTGGAAAAGAGAGTCAAGCTAAGGCCAGAAAGTACTTGTAGGTGGACACTTAAGAATAACCACTACACATCGTAGATGGAGACTGGAACATACACCTTGGCAAGAAATACAAAGCTGTGACTAGGTAGGAGAATATTCATAATATTTGAATTAGAAGTTAGACCTATGTCAATTGATGCTTTTTTTTAATATGTCTTAGACTGAGTGTCCTACATATTTGGTAATCCATATTTACTTTAGTAGTAAGGGAAATTTTGGAACATTAAAAAGATTTGCACTTTATTTGCATTATCTTCTTTTAGATGTACACAAAGATGAATTTCATCAAGCCAGAATCTCATGATTTATGGTCTGAAACACATGCCTAACTTCAAATAGAGTTTTTACTTATAAAAAGGCCCTTTTCGTTCCATTCTGCATGATATTTAAGTTGCATTTTAAAGCTATTTGTATTTTTCCACTTCACCTTTTCCAACTCATTAAGATGGATAAAAAGTATTCAATATAGGAACATTTCTAAAGCTGCAAAAAAAAAAATGACCTTTTTAAACAGATTGAATTTTAAATGAATTGTCAACAGCAGAATGGACTAAGTATATTAACATCTAGAGTCCTGTAGAAATTAAAACTAAATTCAATCAAAACCAATAATGCTGAACTGTTTGCCTGTGGTGCCCAGCTCTCAACTAATGGAATGTGAGAGAATTCTGTGCTTACCAGGTCTCATGACTCAGCAATTAAATTTGAATTTAAGTGACTTTCGTCGTGGATTCAATAAACTCTCTTTGTGGTCATTTTTACTAGTAGCCAGGAAAAGAGGGGGGGAAATGTCTTATTTCCTGGAAGAGGTTGCCCAAGCCTTAAGATCTCTCCCCCGTGTTCCAGTTCATTCTGATTCTGAAATGATCAAGATTATTCAGCCCTCTTTCCCCAAGCTTGTCTCTGTCTGCTGAGAATGCCGAATTTCTCCCTGGGGCTTTCTTTGCCTTTTCCCTCCACTGTTAACATTCTGAGCCCCTTATTCATCTTTGTTACTCAGCAGGTAGTACATAGAATTGGCCTCAATAAACATTTGATGAATGAACTACTATTGTTCAACTACTAATTGAATTGTTCTCTGTCTTACAATAAATTTGTAAGATTTTTCATTTAGGAAATACAATTATCTTTTTAAAGCATAAAAGTTAGTTTTACACACAGTAGAGGATGCGAAAGTGTTGATTAAAAAGCTTTAGCATCTTCTACTTTTACTGTTAACCTGGCGTAAATAGGCAGTGTGATTGTTGAACTGTTTTCCTTCTCAAAGGTAGGTTTCCTTCAAGCATAAAAATCTGTAACGTAATAGCAACATACAGCCCATGAGAAGGAAAAGATGGTAACTTCCAGAATTTAAAAACTTTATTATATTCTTCCAAGCCTATCACATGACTATTTCATATGAATGTGCCATAGTTTTATTTGTATTTTATTTTAATTCTTTTAAGGTATTCCTTAAATATTATCATGTGGAACAGTTAAATTTAATGCGAAAGGAAGCCATTGACAAGCTTATTTTGATTCAAGCCTGTGTCAGAGGATTCTTGGGGTCAAGAAGGTACCAAAAAATGCAAAAGAAAAGGAAAGAGAGCGCAATAATAATACAGTCAGGTAATCACTCAGACTGCCTCAAAAGCCTTACAAAAACCTCATGTTTAGATATGGGCATGAAATCCAATTTTATGTGTAAGTCTCAAATGCTTATGTAGCTTTTGCATTTAATTCCAGACTGCTACTTTGATACCTTCGCTATATTAAATCTAAATCCGATTGTTTTAGTGATTGACACTTTTAATATTTGAATAAATGTTTTGTTTTAAATAAAATAATTATATTTTAAATTTTCTGTCAGGTATTAATAAAACACAATTGACCTATTGTGCAGGAGATAGCAAGTGATTGAATTAATTATGGATCTCAAGAATCATTATATTCCATTAGATAATCAAATTTTTCCTACTTTATTCCAAAGGTTACACTTGCCATAATTTTTGACAACTTAATTAAATCTCATTTTGTTAAAGGGCATTCATTTCTTTCTGTTAGCTGTAGGGAAATAATATTTATACTACTCCTACCTCAAATTTTTTATTAAAATTTATTAGTAGACTTATGGGGCTTTATTTTGTAATTTTTCTATAAGAAACAAATTTAGAACCTGCCATGGTCTGCTTGCTATAATATCTTTCAAAGGTTTTTAACTGGACATTCATAGTAAAAATTGTGTTTTCTCTGGAACTTGATGAACACACATACTACAAGCAATGTTACTTGGATATATTCTGCTTTCAAATCTTCTGTTCTCATCTCTTCTCCTCTTAGCTATTTCATGTTTAGATGTTAGCTATAGCCTACTGGGTCGATTTTATGATCCACTATGAGTTACAGTGTTTGCTCAGAAGAATTCTGATGTGGTGGGCAAAACAGCTAATTAATATTCAAAAGATTCATGGTCCAGTGCCAAGTCTGTTGGTCTATAGTGGCTCGTTATCAACTCTTAGAACTTTAAGCCCTTCATTTCTCTTAAGACATCACAATGCAAACCTGTTTGAGCTCTAATTCTTTCCCCATAATGCCAGAATCCATAAAGGATGACCACATGATCTTCATAGTCCTTTATTCATCCCACATAGTAAAAATACTTTTTTTTTGCAGAAAAAAAAGTGTGGTGGTACAGATAATATATAATATATAATATATATATGATTATATATATATTATATATATATATTATTTGCTCTGAATTATCTTTCTGATGTAAAAAAAAAAGTAAATCTAAGTTCTGAAATATGTCCATCTCTGAGGATAATGGGCCAAAATTTCAAAACATAGATAATATACCTAGACAATATGGTTTCCCCCCATGAATAGCTATAAACATGGAAAAATAAAAGGTAAATAATTACTAGCAAATTTTAAGCAAATTAATATATTTTGTTGTTTTCAGTAACTTAGCTCATCTCTATCATCTTTGTTTCATTACAATCTTTATGATTTTAAATAATAATCTTAACATCAGTAAGTTCCCTCCTTAACATGAATGGTACTTTAGTTATCTTCTTTCTATATAGTTTGTCATCTGGAAGAGTCTTGTTAACGAACTCCCTTCTTTTTCTGACCTGTTCTATTTGGCAGTGTTAATTTCATTTTCTTCTTTGACTCTGGTGGCAAAGAAAAAACAAGCCTTGTTTCTACTCAATTAATTACGCTTACTACTCACTTATTATGTTTAAAACTACTCCAGACTTTATGTGTTTCAGCTGCAAGAGGACATCTGGTCAGGAAACAAAGAAAAGAAATTGTTAACATGAAGAACACAGCATTAGCGACCATTCAGACTCAGAATCAGGAACCTGACTACAAGAAAAAAATTGAAAATAAAAGGTATAATGTTCATTCTTACACCATTTTTACACTATGGATTTTTCAGATCTGTAAGTTAACAAAGTATGTTTACAGTCTTCCTCTTACCAGGCTCCTAATGTATTGTTACATTAAATGTCCTATTTGAGAGGTCATTTGCATTTCACACTGATGACCACAATTTCTTTCTCAAAGTTTTTTCCGTCTAGGCTTCTGCCAGACTTGTGTGCATACCTGCTTCTGATTCTGTCTGTGTGTCCTGTGCTAATTCCTCTTCTTCTCCCCATATTTAAATCATCCCCCATAACTCAACAATGTCCCCGGACACTCTCATTTGTTCCTAAATCAGTATCCAGTTTTTAGAGCACAGCATCTTAGTTCTATCTTCCTAACTTCCTAAGTACTTGTTACAGATCTGCCTGAACTCACTAATACAGAAGATTTTATGATAAGCAGTGGGGACACAATTATTTGAACTTCAGCTTTAGGAGATATAATTTAATATAATGCAATTATGCTATTTAAAATATACATCCTGATGATTTATATACACATTACCCCCATCCCCGGTCTAGCTAGTTAATTAACACATTTACCACCTCACATAGTTGTATGTGTGTGAGAAAACACTTGCCTTCTACACAGAAGATTTCAGTCACACAATACATTGCCATTGACTGTTGTCACCACGATCTACATTAGATCCTCAGACCGTGTTCCTCAGGTAGCTGAAATGTGTGCTTTACCAACCTCCCCTGTTTCCACCACCCCACGACCCCAACAAACTGCTTTCCTAGTCTCTGTTTCCATGGGTGACATTTTTCCTTTTCAAATTTCACATATGTGGCACTGTGCAATATTTGCTTTTCTCTATCTAGTTAATTCCAAAATAGTTAATAATTTTTCGTTGACTATGAAAGAATAGAGATCTTTGTTATCTTTGTGGCAATGGCTTCATTTCCTCTGGATTTTTATCCAGAACTGGAATTGGCGGATCGAATCATAGTTATATTTTTAGTTTCTTGGGAGCCTCATTCTGCTTCCTATAGGATTGTGCCAGTTTACATTCCCTCCAGCTATGCACAGCAGTTCCCTTTGCTTCACATCCTCACCAACACTTGTTATTCTTTTTTTAATATTTTCATTATACCACCCTTCATTTTTGTACAATGTATGGTTTCCCTGTGAAATTCCCACCACCCATTCCCCCGTGCACCATCCTATAGTCCCTTGTGCACTTCCCACCCCTGTCCTGGTCCTTCTCCCTCCTCCTCTCCTACAGAATGTCTCTGATCTATAGTTGCCTGGTGATTTTGATTTTTACTTTATTATAGTTACTTTTTCTCTGGTTCCTTTTTTGTTTTCTCTACATTCCTCCTATAAGTGAGACCATTCGATATTTTTCTTTTTCTCTCTAGCTTATTTAGCTGAGCATAATATAATCCCTTCCAGTTTTATCCATTTCGCTGCAAAGGACACGAGTTTATGTTTATTGCAGCACTATTTACAAAAGGTAAGCTATGGAAGCAATCCAGATGCCAAAAATAAATGACTGGATTAAGAAGATAATGTGGTGTATTTACACGATGGAATATTACTCAGCGATCAAAAAGACACTTGTTATCTTTTGTGTTTTTGACATGGGCCATTGTGACGTGTGAGGTAGTATCTCAATGTGGTTTGGATTTGCATTGCCCTGATAATTAGTGGTGGCAAGTACACCTTTAGCTATGTGTATGTCTTTTTGCAAAAAATATTTGTTCAATTCCTCTGCCCAATTTTCAATTGAGTTTGGGTTTTTTGGATTTTGGGGTTTTTTGTTTCTGCTATTGAATTATATGAGTTCTTTATATATTTGGGACATTAATTTCTTATCAGTGATAGGGTTTTGCAAATATTTTCTTCCATTCTCTCTTTTTCTTTAATTTTATAATAAAAGAAACACTGCTTTTTCTTAAATTTTATAAGCTTCTTCTTGAGAGCAATAGATGTAGACCATATTTAAAGTCTAGTATGTCAGCGCAGTGAACAAACTTGCTTACTTGGTCAAAATCCAGATGTATTTCCCACAATGTGGGTACTTTGTTTGGAAAGGAGCGTATTTTGAAGTGATTTAATTACTATGACTTTTATTTTGATACTTCATTAAATGATAATATACTAGGATATTTTTCACTTGAAGTTGAAACTGGTTTTCTCGTCATCTAAGTACTTATCACAGTTGTTGCTAGAGAAAATATCTTAGGAAACATTTGGTTAATGTGACCTATAAATTCTTTTTGTCCCTTTTTCATTTGTTGGTTCCTTTTTTTCCTCCCAAAATTAAATGACTGGTAAAGAGGGTAATAAACTCTAGTTCAGTATCAGATACTCAGTTGCAATATATTTTACACAGGGAGTCTTTTGTGACGAAGCTGACAGAATATGCCATCTCTGCTAATGGAACAATCATTCCAGCTTCAAATAATAAAGGGAGAGCATCTGTCGTGAAGACATCTGCTTCCAAGGCTGAAGAGAAAATCACTGATGCTTTTGAGAGTATCCACAAGGGATGTCTAGTTCATAACAAAATTAGTAACATGGCAGGGGAAGAGACCAAGCAGGAATTGTACCTGTTGGAAGACCCTTGGGCAGAAGTAAGCCCCAAACAGAAATATGGCAGAGATTTGGAAGAGAACAGTAAACTGAGGAAAATGGAGAAGGAGGATACTGTAGTCCCGAACTACTGTCAGAGATTTACAGAAGAAAGGAATTTTGAAGAGTCTAAAGCAGCCTGTGTAGGAAGGAATGGCAAATCAGAAAGGCCTAGCACCCCAGGACTTTGGCTAGCTGAGAGTGAGACTAAGCAGCCTTCTTTTAAAAAATTGTTAGAAGCTGGTTGTAGCCAGAGATCAGTTTATAAAAATGCAAATAGCAAGGACAAAGAAAAGAGGACATCAGTGGTCACCCAAAATGCACCCTCAAGTGGCCATGAGAAAAGCCAGTTGACATGTGAGACAGTAAAAGAGAGACAAGTTGAACCAGTGACCTCAACCTGTGACGAAGATAAAGCAGCGGTGTTCATTCAGAGCAAATTTCGGGGTTACAAGCGAAGGCAGCAAGTGAGGAGGGACAGGATGTCTTCTTTTAAAAATCAAAAGATTGTTGCATCACCCCCAGAAGCAGCAAGAGATACTCACCATCTGTTTTCCTATCACACAAAACATGAGGAACCTTGTAATATCAAGATGAATCATGACGATATCTCAAAAAGAATTTCAGAAAAAGAAGCACGTGACTTGACAATTTTTTCAAAGCAGGTATGTAAATAAATTTGTTAATTAAAAAAATCTCTTGGTATATCCAAAAGCTGAATTGAAAAAAATGAACTGATTTATTTTTTTCATCTTTTTTGTGCGAATGAAAACCCTTTAAAGAAAAGTCTTCAAGGGTTTTAGTGTTTAAATAGCCATAAAATTTTAAACCACCTGACTATGATAAAAATAGGATAGAAGGGCCCTCCCTGGTGGCACAGTGGGTTAAAGCACAGCACTAAGAATCTAAAAGCACTTCAGCGTGAGTTCAATCCCCTGCCCAGGAGGTGACCCACATGGCGCGGCAGACCTCTTCTGACCCACCTGCTGCTCCCCTCAGCAGTGTACCTGATCAGTCGGCCTATTCTGCTCCCCACTCTGTCTCTGGTGAAGCCTCTCACTGCCCCTGCACCTCTGGCCTGTACCCCAGTTCTGTATGAATAAATAAATAAATCTTAAAAAAATAATAATAATAACCTCACTTGCTACATGCTGAGACATTGAAAAGTAGAATGACGGTTCATCACCGAGAACTGGCTGATAGACCATTGGAGTGGATTCATCGTCACCTGAGGAGAAAGCTACAGGCAGAGAGGCAGCAGACTCATATTCAGCCTCGCAGGAAAAAGCCATGTTAACAGATAAGACAGAGAGGACGCAATGGAAAGAGAGGAGCCAGAGGAACGTAGCCCTAAAGTCAGGCTACAAAGACTGCAAAGGGAAGGAGAGAGTTGACAAGCTAAGGCAGCAGCAGGATTCCTTGGGATAAAGGCAGAAAGGCAGTCACAGCTGTATGGGGATGACAGAAGTGAATCTCAGGAACCCCAGGAGGGAGTTCGTCAGAAACAGTGTCTGTCGAACATTACGGGTCTGGCACTTTAAATGGAAAATGTGAGATGGACAAAGGGGAGGTTCTGTCCAGTGAAGACTTCATGAGACCTTGTTACAAGGGTAAGTGTGGGTGCTGGAGAGGGGTGACCTGAGAGTCCCAGAGACGGTTGGCCCGAAATTGGTCAGGTTCTAATGTACCTGTGGAACTCTGAATTAATTTCCTTGATTTAATCTGATATCTGACCTTCTTTTTAGATATCAAAGGTGTCTGAAGAGTATTTCATTCTGCAGAAAAAACTGAATGAAATTATTTTGTCGCAGCGACTGAAGCCTCTATATCTGGGTCTCTATCCTCGTAAGCCGCTTAATAGACGAGTTTCTTCTCAGCATTGCCTCTCAGGTAAAAATCAGTAGTAAGAACTTCCTGAGGGAAAAGGAAATGCCGAGGCTGTATTTGTTCATTAGCTTCCCATCTTTATTTCATGGACAATATGAGGTTGCCGTGTTTGGGGGAAAGCGTCATTTCGTTTCATTTCTTATAAACAGAGATACACTTTTCCAGAATGTTCTGCGTGTCTCCTGTGTTCTCTAACTTCAGTGTCCTATCTTTTCTTCTTTTTTTTTTTTTTCTTACAAACACTTTAACTAGGCCTTGACATATGACATCATATGGAACTAGGAAGGGTTATATGGCTTGCAAATGCTTCCTCCCAGTCCACAGATTGCTTTTAAATTTGTGGATAGTTTCCTTTGCTGTGCAGAAACCTTTTAGTTTGATATAACCACACTTGATTCTTGCTTTTGTTGTGCCAACTTCAGGCATCATATCCAAAAAGTCATTGCCAAGACCACTGTTAAGCAGCTATGCTTTCTTCCAGGATATTTATGGTTTCAAGCCTTATGTTTAAGTCTTTGACTCCTTTTGGTGACTTTTGTACATGGTGAAAGGTAAAGTCCAGTTTCATTCTTTTGCAAGAGGATGTTCTGTTTCAGCCCAGTTGACTAAGGAGACTGCCCATTCTCAATTGTGTGTATTCTCGGTGCCTTTGTAAAAAATTAGTTGACTATATATGTGCGGGTTTGTTTCTGGACTATCTATTTTGTTCCATTGGTCTGTGTGTTGTGTTTTTAGCCAGGGCTATATTGTTTTGATTACTTACAACTTATTTATAATACAGGTTGAAATCAGAGCATGTGATACCACCAACTCTTGTCAACAAACTTAAAAGCAGCAGTTTACTGAAAAGTTAAACTCACTTTCCTCTTTAATCTACCTTTTTTAAAAAATGAACTAAGAATATTAGAAATCAATTCCAAGTTTATCAAGAAAGGACAGTTACTCAGTGACATTTCTTTAATTCTCCAGGTGCAAAGGAAGAATCTCTTTACTCTGTGCAAGTTAAGAAGTTATATCCTCCACTATACTTATTTAAATTTACACTGGCAGACATCAGAATGGCCACATGTTCCTGAAAAAAGTATAAGTAAGGTCTGCAAGAGGGCTAAGGTGACCTGTGAGCACAGAGAGATCTAGGTAGAGTACCCAGAACCAAGGAGTGAGGCAGGACACCAGGAGATGCAGTCAATGCCAATGACCAGAAACTAAGCTAGTACCGTTATTCTCAGCTGATGCCACTGAAAAACCAAATATAACCACAGAGAAGATGGCCTGTCCACATTGTTTTTAAAGTTTGTCTTTACCTAATCCTTTGTTTGATTTCTTTATATTCCATATATAAATGTCACCCCTGATATATATTTATCTTTCTATTCCTGGCTTGTTTTCCTTAGCATAATGCCACAATGGCATGAGTTTATCATTTTTGATCACTGAGCTGTAATCCATTGTGTATATATATATATATAGCTTGTCATGACTTTCCGGACATCCCAATATATCTTATACATTACTGAACATACATTTTTTTTTAATTTGTTAAATTCCTATTTTGATTTTACTGTGA